AGCACAGTCGAAAAGTAATGTCTCAGCTACCGATTTCGATTCAGTATCAAGCTCAGTGATCCTGCTATATTTAGTAGCTGTTCACAAACTGATGATGCCACGATGCTCAAAATTTGTAACCGCTCCTAACAGGTGGTTATAAACAGCACTAGAGCTAAGTAACTCTGCAAATATATAGCAAAATAGAAATTGAAAAAGTACAACACGTCGTGTGAATCAAAGACGAAAAGGTTTCCGAAGTATTCGCTGTTTTTTAGTTTTACTTGCAGCGCCCTCAATTTCACGGTAATGTGGTACTTGCCAAACTGGCTAACCATGATACATTTTCTGATGATATTGTTTAGCAACTGTTTTTCTCCTTAAAAAAAAGTGAGCAAGAGAAGGGATTCGACCTTGTGAGCAATTTTTGAAGTACGAAAGGTTCTCGCATACTCATTATCAAGTAGCCCGGATAATTTTCCCATCTGAAAAAATCGAAATCTGCTTCTAATAGCGTAACTCCTAAGTGCTAAACAAATGTTAAAACTGGAAAACTAGTGAACGTGATGATGGAGTCGAGAGAGAAGAGCAGGACAAGTTCACCAAGACTAGCAGGCTGGCATCCCGCTTATCTGTCTTATGATACATCTCAGTAACATCGAGGATTGACCGCCTTGGTAAATTTAGCGATACAGGAGAAGTAACGCCCTCCATAGAAAAAAAAATACAGTACAACAGTTTGGCACAGTATTAACAAACAACAGAGAACATATTACTGTAGCAACATAATATACAAGATATAATTTTTGGAGGACATCACTGGTGCAGCGCAATGAATCAATGTTTTTACATTGTCCTTTATCTCACACCGAGTTTTATTCAGTGCTTTTTTACCTCATTCCTCAGTCCTCCCTGATTTTCACTGGGTTATGAAGCAGGAGCAGTAGCACGAAGAACACTGAGTGAAAACAACAACTTGTAAAACCTTTTATTCATCAATTACAACTGCTTACAATCTTGTTTTAGCTAATAAATTAATGAGAGACATACCTCTCTCAGACGTCCTCAAAAGCAACGAAATGCTTATTCAACTGAGATCGCTTCTGCTGAGAGCTAGTAACCGCAATTTGACCTTCAATTGCTTGCCGAAACTCTCGCCGGGTTCCGTAATTATGAAAACTATGAGACCTGTGAAAAAGCGATAAGTTTTCAAGAGAGGAACTGTCAACTTTACCAATAGCCTGAATTGATGACATGCCGCGCGGCGCTGTCAGTTTAATTCAGATCGCCAAAACAGTTTCGGATGGAAGGGAAAAAGCGGTGAATCAATCGGACGGAACAAAATTTCATTCGAGAGGAGGAAGTAAAGAATTTAGTCACAAGAAAGCAAAAATTTAATCAAATCGGTCCACATATTAGCCAGAAAACAGCTATGATTTATGCTTAAATGCAGAACTCAGCTCCCTAGGCACTAACCTCTTAAACAAGTATGGCGCGCATTGAAATGGCTTATATAACTTATTATTTTGGATAGAAGGTCGAAAGTCGAAACTTCTTTTACCCTTCTTTCTTTAATGTTTACTAACACAAGTGACTGGCAATATGCACATTATATAAATAGCGGGTAGAGGGCTGTAATGATGACTACTATTCTTTTCCTTTCATTCTGCTCTCAGTCTTTACAGCTAGGAGATGAAAGACAGACTGCTATGCTTTTCGGTATGTTCATAAGCATAAATTCTTATCGATTCCTTATCCATGATATCAATATCTTTCGTGCTACCCGCTATTATTTAGAGGCCGAAGTATTCTAAAGTAGCTCATGTGAGACAATATGTGCCAACACTATTGACCAGCTATGAAAGCTTTTTAATTGCGTTCTTACCTGAGAACTGCTTAGAAGAAAGCTGACTCCACGTCATGCACCAGTACCATAATCGTAAAGGTATAGGTTGTTCCACTGACGAAGTCGAATTCTCTTTAACACTACAGCAGTGCTACCTGCCACTGCACCATTCTCTCTACTTGCTAAGATAAAATTTATTAAACCTTGCAAATTTGAGAAGCTTTCGCTAGCAAAGTAACGCTCTAAGCCATTTATATTCAACACAGTTTTAATATAATGTATATCCAATTATTCAAAAATAAATAAAGAACAAATAAACTAATCGGTCCGAGCTGGAAAACTTGATCAGCGCTCTTTACCTATAATGTGGAAAAGATGCCATTTTGATTATTGGCACTTGGGAAAAAGAGGAAAAAACAACGTAAAAAGCACGCATATACCCAGGCTGGATGGAAAGGAAGAAAAAAAAGGCGTAGCAAACGCGTGACCACCAAATGATGTCCACCACAAACCACCACTGCCACAAAACAACAAATAACACTGATCACCAAGACGTCTTCAGTCCTCCAAACATCGCCATTCATAGATGAATTTGTAACTGCACCCCAATTTCGCGCACTATTGGATTTCGACAAAAGTTTCGGTTTCTTTTTTGCTCTTCGAAGCAAAATTATGGCCTGGTAGTTCATCTTCTTGCCCAGCTGATAGCTGAGACAAATACATTGCTATATCCTTCATCATCTGCTAGCAATCTCAGAAAAGGCAGTCTTCGTCATTCTCGCCAGCGTGTGGTTGCTGCTGTTAATTGTTACCATTCCGAATACACTTAGAACGCCTCTGTTTGTCAGTGAAGGTGAATACAATGGGTATTCAACTTCTTGACTTTTGACAAAGAATGAAGTAGGTGTCATCCTCTGTCGAGTAATCGGAATAACTGTGACCATTTGAATAGTACTAGCTGATCGGCACGAATAATAACAAGCAACAGCTAACAGGCAACGACTGGCTTATTCATTTCAGCCTTTTCTCCTTGCGAAGATTGCTTCTTGATATCCTTTTTTTTCTTCATCCAGAAGCAAAAGCTGACGAACTCAGTGCGCACAGTTACAAAATAAGGCGCTACACAACAAGCGACGGACAATTAAGCAGCATTATATTAGCAATTATTGCAGCCACTATAACGGCTACGAGCCAAAGGGGAGAAAAAAAGCAAGGCACAAGCTAAATCTGGCTGCTCTCTACAAGAATAACATTCTGTGACAGTTCCATGCTGATGTTTTCATCAAATTTTGGTTTTGAACCAGCCTACAGTCGTGACTTTCCCAAGCTTTCACAGAAAATAAAATTTGGAATATCCCAAAAATCTACTTCAGTTTCGTAAAATTCCGCATACTTTCGGGCGAAAAAAGCAGCTAACATCATCCAGTAATATTGCGATTTTAATTCAACACATTATTCTATTTCACAGTGGTGGTTTTTGCGCATGACGAAATCTCATAAAATTTCAAGAAAATTCCCTAAAAACCCCGCGAACTTAACTCGAAGTCCATTAAGCTCATTTTCATAAAATAAACAAAGCTCAGTGAAATAGATAATAAAAACTTTAAATAAAAACGGCTAGTTAATGAAAGGAACAAAAAAGGAACGAACAAGCAATACGGGAACAACTGATGCAGAGATGATACTACAAGCGTTAGAAAAAAAATTATCTACTCAGTCTGAGAAGCTAATTTTTTTAGTTGTTTAGTTTCTTTGATTTTTCCAGGTCAGGATACGAAGTGATTTGAGGCATGAGATTTGATTCATAGTAGAACTCTCTCTGGCTCCTTCCGGAATTGCTTAAAGCATGCTGATGGTAGACTTGACACTCCCTAACATATACCAGCACCAATTTGCCATCGAAACAAATAAATAAAACGCATAGAGAGTGATTATTCCACAGGCAAAGTCGAACCCTCGATCTTTTGAACAACAACAGTGTTACTTCCAACTGCTTTAAGCCTATCGACAGATTGTTAGTAAAAGAGGAAAAAGACTAGTTTCTGGAGAAAGCAAATGAAGTTATTCCACCGCATGAATGCAGCATGAAAAATGTGTGCAAATACCAATCGCAGTGTTTGCGGAGACAATTAAGGAAATTAGAAATCAGTCCAGAGGACGCCAGTAGGTGTTCTCAATGTTGATGATGAAGTTGGTGGGGTCTTCTCGGTAGTCGTCGTGTCTTCTTTAGAAGCACAGGAAGCTCTAGATGACGCCGATTCATCCGCGTAAGGCAGTGTTTCTGTACTTTCTTGCAAACATGTCTCACTAACAGGCTGTGCTGCTTCTGAAGTTAGTACTGTTTGCTTCACTACGACTACTGGTGGAACCGGTGGGGGAGGAGGAGGAAGTGGTGGAGGTGGGAAATCATCTACAATCCTAGATTCTGCTATTTCCTGCATGGACACAGAAGTCTTTGCTTTGAAATCCTCCTTCTTGACTTCTGTGGTTGTTTCTTGTTCCTCCTCCGTCGGCTCAGGTTTTACATTGTTCAGACTTATGCTCAGTGATTCCTCCCTCCTTTCACCATCTACTTCATAGATGACGGCTTCCGCATCACATCCATTGATGTTCGGCTGTGATATAGCAGCAAACTGCGGTCGCTCTGATTCAGGACTTGGCGGGATATTGAAACGTACCGGTTGTGTTTGCCGACGTGGATCACCACGACGACCACGCTTCGCAAGCGCAGATTTCTCAACAGATCGTCTTCGTAACAAATATTCTAGGACGTCTCCAGATTCAGGAGTAGTTGGTGATAGTGAGTGGTCCTGGGATGAGAAATTACACGGCGACGGCAAACGCTTTTTTGGAACAAGATCGAGCGATTTTCTTCGCCGAAAACTTTCAGGACTTCGTGATCTTGACAACGAACGGCGTGAGCTACTGCTCGCTTCCACTGCACCGGCTAAAACCTCCGACATCGTATTTTTGTTGCCCGTATCCTTGAAAGTTGTAAAGCTAGACGTAGCTTCTACAGCACTCTCATCGACCTTCGAGATATTGCGCATCGTAAGTACGTACGGAATGTCACTGTTGAAAAGATGACATTTTTGGATTTCTGGATGATCTTCGCTTTGCACTGAAATCAGTGCCGGACGCTGCAGGTCATTCATTTTCGATGGCGCCGAAGATGACTGCAGGATTGTATCCTGTTGAAGATTTACCACTGGATGAGCAACTGATTTCATCTCCGGTGCACTCGAGACTGATTTTGCTCCAAGGCTGATAACAGTGCCGGAAGTTCCAGCTGTTTCGCCTGAGGAAGTTAGGTTCTTTGGCTTCGGTGGCACCGCTGGCTTCAGTTTCCGCGCACGGTAACCTTCAGGGGCAATAACGAGATTTTCTTTGGTAATAACTTTACCGGGCAATGGCCCAACTGCACCGTATGTTTTTGGTACCGGTTGAGGCTGCGTAAGTGTCATGTAATTGTGAGAGCTTTGCGGTGCATGAGCGAGATCGACATTGCTATAGATGTTTTCGATACCGGGAACTGATGCCTCATCGACGCTATCCGGAATTATTTTTGGCCTCTGCAGAACAGTACCTTTGGACGTATACACAATACCTTTCAGTGGTTGAGCTTCTGAGGTCTGCGAGCTCGACACTAGGGGGCTAGGGTGCACGGAAACAGTGGCTACTGGTCGGCGAAGTGGCGGCTCTCCAAGTGAAATCCCAGAAGCAGCAGCGGGAGGAGGTGGTGGAGCAGGCCATGCGCTGCTACTGCTAGACACTGCTACAGTTTCAGCGCCTGTTGTTTTCTTGCTACGCAATTTGCCGTGTTGATCGAGGTCGACATTTGGACCGTCGATTTCGATTGGCACCAGCTTGCGATGTATCGGATACTCGGCATAGGATGAGGGTGCGGAGGAGGCATGCCGCTCTCTTTCAGGGTGGGTTGCTCCAGGTTGCCTACGCTGTTGCTGCTGTCGGTGTGCCGCCGAATCATGCCAGGCTTCCATACGCTTCCGTCTCTCGCGGTAAGAATCCTCACCGTCGGTACTAGTATTTGGGGACGGTGTCGCATGACTACTCGATACAATCTTCTTCACGATTACGTTACCAACACGTTTAGCCGTGAACGTGGTTGCATAAACGGGATTAATTTGTGCAGCCGGAAGTGAAACATCATTGGAATGCACTGAGCGTAACTCATTGTCTGAAAGCTTGTAGGAGCCTTCGCTGAGGTTATCGTAATCGCGATGTGGTGCTGTTTGCTGTTCCAGGAAATTATCACCGGATGCCGATTTGGGTGGGCCGCACTCACATTTCAACTCAAATTCACGACAAACAAGTTGCAGGTCATCAGCAAGAACATTTGGTAACGATACCGATGTAACAGCATCAGTATCCGAAGATGCCTCAGCTAAGTCACTAGAATCTCCGGCTACTGCTCCTGCAGCGGCTGTAGGCTTACCCGAAGACCCAAATTTTAGTGGCCTGGAATTAAGATGTTTGTGACGCACATTCATACTCCCGACCCCTCGGCTAACATCACTAGTTTCCATATCACTCAAGCACATCCGTTCAGCATTCACAGCTGCAGCATTACTACTACTGGGATAGTTCTGAGAGTTACGATGCGGATGATGATTACGTGCGCTGTAACTATTCGGAGCAGCATAAGCACCCGAAGGCAATTCCCCGGGAAAGTAACTTATCCTCATGAAACCTGGCACAGGCTGACCTGCTGCAGTTTGGCTTTTGCTTTGACTCAGAATCCGTGCACCGCCACTGCTCGTCGACACATACGCACCGTTCGCATGACGCATTTGTACTGCGCCAGGAGCTACTGATGACGATGCTCCAGCACTAATTAGATTCACGGATCGTTCGCTCACCGTTGCATAACCCGGTTGACTGAGATCAAAAAGTGCTGGCCTGGAAAGCCGATCGCCTGAGGATGAAGTGAAACCGGATTTAATTGGCCTGAAAGAAACCATTCGTTATTACAGCTGATATTGTGTAAAGTCGGCAAAAAAAGAAAACAGAGTGAGTTGCATATTGTAAACGCTAAACATATAAAATGTATTAATACAGGTGCCAGAAATTCCCATATATAAACTGCACGAGCACTGACAGCCGGCAGTGTAATGTGTAACACGTCACGAAACAGAGAATTTGGACATTGTGAAAAGAAAGAATTCGGTTCTTTCCCGGTCAGTACGTTTGCAAAATAGGTCCCATTCGCGACACCAGCTCCGTTGCCATCAAAATAATTTTGTCAATTTATAAATTTTGTAATTCTCATCTCCTACCTTCCTTTTTGACTTCTTACTTCTTATTTCATCCGTAGTCACTTACCTTTCTATCACTTACTCATGCTTGCACCTAGATGATCAGAACTGTGCTAGCTATGGACCCGTAGATTCCGCTGCAATGCAGCTATACCAAAAATCAGGCACAGCCGCAATAAAACTTTCTGAGATATGTTGCTTTCTTTCGTTAGCATCCTCTGATTTACTGGCGTTTGTACACGTTTGTGCATATCAAAGCTGCCCTCCTGCGGATACCATACGCAATTTTCTTGGACTTTAAAATCAGTAGAACCGTAGGCAAATCGTATATGCTATAAAAAGAGCTAGAATGTCCCATACACTTCAACAGTTGGCTCACCTTGTAAACGGCTCGCGTCGCTTCCTGTGTTCCCTAACGTAGTCGATTAATTGCTTTTGGGTGCGGCCATGATACCTGAAAAAAAGATGCAGTCATAGGCGGATCCACGGCGGCCTCCCAGACGGGGGAGAGGGAGGGTCGGTTGCAAAAGAAGAGAGGGGAGATGAGTGGAAAGGATGAGGAAGTGTACTCCCCAGATTTTTACCGCAGGTACCCTGGTTGGGAAAGCGCTAAAATACAGCTTGCTTTCAGAGTGCTGTTATGGTGTGGGGTGGAGAAGAGCTCAGATGTTGCTTTGCGGGCAGGGTTTGGGGGCAAGGTAGGGGGGGTAGCGCTACCCAGCGCGCCACGGCTGAAACGCGTAGCTGTGAAGGTGCCGGGTGGAGAGAGGGGAGAGGCGGTTGGCGTGGTTAGGTGGAGGTGGTGGGTGTGTGCCCTGCAGCCCCGAGAGGCACGGATTGGGGCAGAAAGAAGGGTGCTACTGAGGGAGCTGATGCTTAATTAACGCTGAGCTCTCAGCTTTACCTGCATAGCTTTATATTATTCGCTTTCAGCTTTACCTAAGCATCAGCTTCATGAATGGGAAAGTCCTTTGCCGATAACGGGTTTTTTGTTTTGCTTTTACTTTTTTTTGTTTTAGGTTCACTTTTCTGATCCTGATTTTATTCCTGTGCCCAGCAGTGGTGTAAGAGCACTTGAAAAAAAACGTCCGCGGATCGCGTATGATGCCGGCCGAGCTGAATTTAGTAGCTGTGGAGTAAGGTCACCCGCCAAGGGCCGTGAAAATTTTTCGTAAGTTGTGTATGGCATCAGGCGAGCCGACAGTAGTTGTCGCCGAGTTTTGGTAATCGCCAATAATGAAAAATTACAAGGAACGTCAATGCAAAATAAAGAGATAATAAGACATTCTGGTCTATCAAGTCATGAATGTTTTAATCAACGCTGCAGTTGGATCTCGTTAGTACGGTAGCACAAAGGAAAAATTGGAATGACTGTGTAAGTGAAGTTGTGTACCTAAAAGCAGAGCCTTTGCTGAAGAATCGTCCTTCCCTGGTTTTCTTCGGTTGTAAAACTTCGATGCACCGAAAGAATGCATGATGCTCCACACATTTCTTCCAGAAATTCTTGCACTCGTTCCTGCTTTCAAACGAAAACTCGATTGTTTCCTTGTAATATTGCTGCAAACGATTCAAAGTACATTTGAGTGACTTCCATTAAAAAGAGTGTAACCTGCTTAACTCTCGATTTTTCTTGAAAAAAAAAGCCGTAGGTGGACGACAACTTTTATGCAGCTTTGCTGAAAGATGCCTGATGCGAAATGCATATGGTCTATCAGCACATTGAAACTTCACTAACCTAGCAAAATTATTCGAGAGAAAAAAAATCATATTCAAAAAATTTTTGGAAAAATTTAAAATTTTTACTTACATAACTTTCCGGATGTAACTTAATCAGTAGTTTACGGCGTTTGAATGAAAGCTTCCGGATTTTTGCCCATGAAAATGTGGATACACACTGAAGCTGATGGAATACTCGAATGCCCATATGGGCAACGGTCAGACTTACATCCGTACCTTCGACATCCTGAAAATCAAATCATTCAAAATGCAGTTGCCACAACTATCACGACCATTCGAACTAGTGCTGAGCAGCTGTAAGTGTTACTAGGATCTGACCGAATGGAAAGCATTGCTCTAGCAAGCCTTTCCTGGCAGTTGCCACAACTATCACGACCATTCGAGCTAGTGCTGTGCAGATGTAAGTTTTAACACTCACAAAGTGCAAAAGCGCTTTTATGTTGCTGCCACTCCATTTTTTACATGTTCCTCAGCGCATTTTAGTTTAAAATAATGTGTCTCTAAAAGCTCACAACAATATTCAAGTATTTCAAGCATTTTCAGTGGGCCTAAACTGAAAATGCCCGAAATGCTTGAATACGGTTACAAATTTTGCACTAAAAGCGCAAAAACAGTTGCAATTATTTACATGCGCTTGCAGAAAGCCTAAACCACAAAAATGAATTACCAAAAATTAGCTAAAACTAATGAAATCAATGAGTTGGATCCGAAAATTCTCGCGCACTTTAATGAACAAACGAATGTACGAATGAATGAATGTTTAATATGATGTATAGACCTTTCCCCATGCCACTTTTTTCGAAAAACTAAGTGAAATGATGCAAAGGTAAGTACCAGTGGTGCTCAACATTGAAAGTTACACTGTAGGTATCATATGCATAGTTCAGACAATTTTGGTCGAGTACTGATGCCTAGGAAATAGTGGGGAAACAGAATTAAATTACGCCAAAAGTTCACATAATTTCAACGGTTTTTCAAAATGTACCTTAGCACCATGCAATTTCACACCGTAGTAGTCACAACGTCGAGCAGTCTCCAGTAGTGCCAAATCGCTTTCACCGGGACTCATGCCGCTGAAAATTTTGAAATAAGAATCCCAGCATTTATAAAGCTAGAAGAAATCTATAAAGTTTGAAGAAATTTAGCAAAGTGCAGGAATGAATAAGCAGAAGCTATCAATTATCCAGAAAATGCAAGTGGAATAGTTTAAAAAATTCTAATTTTTTGCACTTTCATTATTAACAGTTCTTTATTGGCGAATTTTAAGCGGTCACAAAAAGTGCTTTTCTAACGCGCTTTTCTGACAAATTGTTGAATTCGCCTCAGCGCTACTAAAGCAAAATGTGAAAGACAGTTATTTGATAAAATCGAAGCTTGCTAAGTAACATCGCCTGTGTGCGCCGTATGTGTCTGTGTTTTGTGTGTGTGTGTGTGTGTGTGTGTGTATGTGTGAACACACACTTTAAACTTGGAATAGAATTTCTCCGTCCAGAAAATTGTACACATTCCTTTTCAGCATCACAAATGGACTTCATCTTACAGCGGTTGCTAGTAAAACTCGAAGGAAAAGGACGAGATGGGGAAGAGGCAATGAAGTACAGAGAACGAAGAGGAGAAAAGAAGGAGAAGTGTAATTTATGGTAAGGGAGAAACTTCGAAATTAAAGGAAGCGGCCAATTAAACTATTTTTGAAACCCTGTGAACATAATACTCGAAAAAGTACAATCCATGGAACTAAAAAGGCTCTCAGATCTCACTGCGTCTTGGCTTTCGTCGTCGAAGCAGAGAATGTTTTTCAGACTTCCATCCTCGAGCAGGATTGCCGACATATAGTTATTGTCGGTATCATCGGTTAATTTCCTCTTCTTTCCCTTCTCTCTCACTTTATTTGTTCTCTCTCTAATTCTTTTTTCTTTCGTATATCCATCTTTCAAATTAGTTACATGACTATTCAGTATATGGCAGGTAGGAGGTTGCATTGATGATTCTCGCTCCTAACCGCATGCAAAGTTCGGTCTGTGTTTGTAGCTAAGGAATGAAACACAGGCTGGGCTGCAAAATGTCTTCTTACATATGGCACTTAAATACAGTGTTCTACTATTCCAAAATGTCAGTTGATTAGTGTAAGTACTCACAATAAGAAATCCAAAAGTATGCAAGCTTGACCTCGTTCTGACTTATGTAAAATTCTGAACTATGTAAAAAAGCATAAAAATACACCCAAACTTATCAATACATACATACATCAGTTTCATATGATTTTCCATGACTTTTTTCTGGAAATCGGTGCTTTGATTAGGCACAAAGCGAGCGCTCGATAAATAGCTATCATCGGGATAGTCCTCGGATGAAAAATCACCGCAATCGGACTGCACAATGTAAGATGCGAGTAGAGCAGCTGTATTCTCGTTACATAGTAGCTCACCCATTGCAAGATCCCTTTTAATTTGCAGTGCAAACAGATACCTGTAATCAGTAATAGAAAAGTATATTGAAATAGGAAGGAAAATTGAAGAGAAAATTAAGAAATAAGAATTAAGAAATTAGTAGAAGTAGTAAAATTAGTTAAATAAAATTATAAAATGTCAGGAAAAAATGCCTTCATAATACTTACATGAGAAAAAAGGAGTCGTCCTCGGAGATGTCAAAAGTCAAAGTCAAAACCCTTCTCGTATTCGTGCTTTTAGGAGAGCACTAAAGTTCGAAAATATTCCGTGGGAAGTAAAAGCAAACAGCAACCACCAGCGAGTAAGACTGCCAATGGCCCCTCATACGAGGACTGTTTACAAGCAATTGTGGTAATGGTAAGAAATGTACATAACTTAATGGACATTTCTTAACATTATAATAATTTTACTAAAATAATTTCTTAATTTCCCGATATCATTTTCTCTTCCACTCTCCCTCCTAATTCAAAATGCCTTTCTATTATAAGCAAGCTGATGGCGAGTACGATTTCCTCCTTACTATACGCCATTATTAATTTACCGTAGAACTGAATGAATGAATCGTATTGGTACGGATCATCCCAATGATTATTCCACACAAAAAACACACATCTATACAGAAAAAATAGCAAACGAAACTGTCAAGAAATTCAGGAAACCTGGTGTATTCTTCGACGAGATCAGCTGGATTAGGAGTGTAAAATTTGACAATGAAATAAAATCGTGCATCGCTATGCGTTGTGGTGATTTGCCTGAGGATTGGCTTATCTTTATCCAACCAGCACTACAAAATGTACACATTTCAATGAAGGTGTTTTTAGTAAATATATGCCAGAAGGGATAAATTCGATCCAAGAAAATTCAGCATTGAAAAGCCGAATGAAGCTTACTCGATTGCCATAACAGTCGGTGAATTCGAGGCTGAAGTAATCACACTCCAAAAGATTCAGATGTCGGCAAACTTCATCGAATAAGGCCTGTCCAAGCGCTTTGTGCTGTAAATACAATTACATTTTCTGGGACAGAATGAAAATGGATAAAAGTGTATATTAGAGCAGACTGACGCCTGTGAGGTTGCATTCGAAGCGGGAAGATCCCTGTAAACCGAGTTTCAGTAACTGCCTATTTTGGCGGTAAATTACATTTTAGGTCATCTCTGTGCTTTTAATATTTTATAGTAAAAGTGAAAGCTAGTGAACAGGCTAAGTTAATTGTTGAATGCTATTTGCATCGTCGTCGGTGAAATCTGTTGGGAAAATCGTTGACGAGATAGAAGAAACCATTTGAGCATCTAAGGAATTATTATATAGATATGAAGATTTCTTAACGCAGAAGAATGAAAAGGTGACGGTGCAAAGAAGGGTAAAAACGAAAATAGCAGCTTTTCAACGGGTCAGAACAAAGTAATTTTTGAAAAGACGCAGAGCGTACCCCGAGATGAAAAACGCCGACTGAATCGTCCAGCATGCGAACTTTGATGCACATCAGTTTACCGCGACGATTATCCATGCCGGGTGGCGGTGGCGCACCAACTCCTTTTGGTATCATCCCAGTCCCCGGCATATTCATACCTGACCTGCAGTTGCAATCAAAGAATCAAGTGCGTCAATATTTTGTTCAATCGAATCTTAGAAAATTGACGTGCTTTGTCAAAAGTAATGTCAATTTAGCAACTTCTGCAACCCAAAGTTCAATATGGAAACGGACAAAGCACAAGAATCAAGAAGATGCCAGCTGTGTCGGCGAAAAGGAATGCGTTTTTGAAAAGGAACGCAACTTTTTTTGCGAGAGAGCGATCTCAGGAACCAGACAAAATAGAGAGCTGAAACTTTGCAGAGATATTCTCTGTGCATGCATGAGTTAAAGATTCCAAATCCAGCGTGTGGGTGTACGTGGTTCTCATGCACGAGCACGTGAAATTTTTGCCCGGAATTGCTAACTCGGTAACCAGGGAAGCAGGAAGGCTGAAATTTTGACAGTATATTCCCAGTCCACGTACAACTTAAAGATTTCAAATTCAGCCTCCAGGCATGCATGGCTCTCATGTACGGATAATTTAAAGTTTTGATGGGAAAATTGCTCACTGAACAACTAGGTCATTTTTAAAGAACGATCGCTAAGCGGAAATTGTTCATTTCATTTATGCGAAATTCACGATGAATTTACGCTAGTGAACCATCCATGCAGCTAACGGCCTGAGGTACTTCAAGTCTCGTACAAAAACGCATAACCGCACCGGCAACCCTGCCTCACCACAGCCCGGATCATAAAATTGATTTTGTTCATATGAATTGTCAACTGCAGAAGAAAGAAATGCCCATGCGTACAAATAACAGACAGACAAAGTTGTTTTCTTCTAAGGTAAGATTCTGTGAAAGCGCATCATAAGAAAGTCCATTTATTCTTGTTTTGTAACTTACTTCAAACAATCCTCAAAAACTTCATTATTTTCAATTAGAAAATTGCGATACAGAAACGAAAATGAGAAACAAAATGAGTCTATGTCGTAGCGATAAGATGAAATACTACACGGAATTTTGAACACAGTATCAAAATGATATCACTTTTGAAAGCTTACAAATCACTTTCAAAAGCAACACACTGAAAACAGTTTGTGTTTTGTTTTTACACCTGCGCGTGAATCAGCTTTGGATTTACAAAGTTAAAGTAGTAAAAACACATTTGTTTATGCAATCACAAACGTATGGCTCCGTTTTTACTCTCTGTGTGTCATGATTCTTAACCTTATATTCAGTTTCTAATTTTCTTTTTCCTTACGCCCAGCTTCTAGCTTTTGTTATAACTTGAATGAACGAACAGCAAAAAGTAGCCAAAGCCCTGCACATGGAAACGATATCCGACTGATAGTTTCATATGCATACTTTTATACCATCAAAAGACCGTGCGTATTATTTTCTGGCTTAATTATGATGCAAGACGAATTCATTTCTTTATGTTCTTGATTTATGATATGCAATAGCACTTAGAGAGTGACTCAAAGGACCAGGAATGGCAAAAAACTTCATTTATTAACAACGATTAAATAAGTGCAAAGAACTGTAAAGGAAAATGAAAGCTTCAATTAATTAATAGAAAAAAATATTACATAGCAGATGACAAAAGGAGGAGCATCTGAAGAGAAATTTTTCGATCCTGTTAAATGCACTTACCCCTTTTTAGCAACAAATATTACCATGAAAATCGAGACCGCTCGGACTATCAGTGTGAGTATCCCTTGTCAGTGACGTTACTAGGATGTTTCCATACGCCGACCTCAGCCATGCCAGGCTTTCCGATCCTGGGCTGCATACTTCCATCAAATATTACCAAATATAAATTTGTGCCGACATTATAAATGCAAAAAGACTCATCAATTCAAAAAATTGAAATTTTCATGATTTACGGTAGTGGAATCGGCATGACGAAAATAAGTTTTTAAAGGTTAATACTCAAAATTTCTTTTCATTACAGACTGAAACTACTTTTTCAAATCAAATGCCTCAAGTTCTGAAAAAAAATAGACATACTTTTATGCATGCCAGCACGTTTAGGGATTAATTTAGAGCAATTTCACGCAGGTATAAACCCTAATTGGACGATCTGAGGAATAACACATGTACTTAATAATCTGCCTGGGAAAATTAATGGTTTTCTGGTGTTATGCCACACACCTGGGACCTCATTTCAGGACGATTTTACGCAAGCATGAACCTTAGTTAGACGGATCTAACAAATAAAAAAATGTACTTCATGATTTCAAACATCTTTGCAATCAACTGCAAGGGTGGTGGAACGGTTATGCAGGTGGTGGGAGTTCAGAATAGAAAGGTGAAAGAATCTCATGATCGAAGGTTTGGATCAACAAATCAGTCATTTAGCTGCAGTTCGAATAAAAGAGGCGAAACAAACAACAGGACCGCCAACGGGCTGTCCGCTGAACATTACAGCGTTTCATTGGAAAAGTTGCCAGTTGCATAGTTGGAGAGCAGCGCTATAAAACACAAATGACCAAAGGACCAAAACGTCAAATAATGAAAGGTTTTAAAAAGGTGAGGACTTAAAATATGAAGCAGTTGTCGGAAGAAAGAATCAAAAGGTCAACAAGGAAAAATAAATGGGACTTGCTTCATGAATACTGCAGTCTGCGCTGTTTTCTAAACATTTTTCCTGAGCTCATCTACCCATTCTTCCGGAGTATTTTCTCATCAAGGATAAAGCTATTGAGAGATAGTCAACTAGTAAGGAAAATTTGAAATTAGGATGAAGCATTCACGGGAGTTTCAACAACATGGAACAGATCTGAGTGGTAATAGTCGTGTAGGAGGCTCGTAGCAGGATGGAGTTTATATGAAAGGACCCACACCGATAACCAGTCTTTTACTGAAATAAACATATCACAGTAGGTAGGTGCGGAGTGGTATCGCAAAGCTTCCATAACTCTTCTCAATTCCGGCTCCCCGTACTCATTTTTCCCTCTTCTAAGTTTTTTTTCGCTTTTTCAACAAAGCAATTTTTTCCAGAATACGCAGCACATCACACTAGTTTCACTGGCCCAGCGTTAACAACCTGTAAATCAATCTTCATAACCCAAAATTCTTATAAGTTGAGGAAGAAAAGAATGCACCCCAATGTGTTCGTCAACGTCGGTTTAATACCTCCTTTTGGAGTCTACTGCTTTTAGATAAGACAATCTAAGATCACTAAAGTCAAAAAGACAATAATCTCATACAGCTAAAGTCAAAAAGACAATAATCTCACACAGCTGTGCTATGATTCTAAGCTGTGTATCTCCAACTGGTGCCATCGCTTGTTCGATTTTTTTTTT